GGGGGGGGGGGTGTTCTTCCAAAGAATGTAAGAAAAAGCACAAATGTTAAATTATAACAATTAGTGGCATTTTCCACAAACTGTGTGAGAAGCAGCCCATCTTGCAACTTCTGAGGTTTTCTGTTTCCTGGGTTTGTCTTGCTGTGAAGGGGCAGGCGCTGATGGGTGCATTAACTGCACGGAGGGCTACTTCATGGAGGATGGGAGATGTGTGCAGAGCTGTAGTGTCAGCTATTACTTTGACCACTCTTCAGAGAATGGACACAAATCCTGCAAAAAGTAAGTGGATCTGCCCCTCAAGCTCTAGCATTTGGTTACTGGGTTCCTTATTTGACTGACTTCATAAATAATATGAAACTTAGAATTATTAATGATAAAATTAGGTTCAAACATTACTGCCCTGCAGCTTTCACCCAGTTTGTCTTTTGATATATATTTTTTGCCTCAGGCATACTTTAAAACCTTTAAAATCACATGTCTACCTGATAGGTTTTCTTTAATGTTGCCAAACCTAGCAGTTATTTTAAGAAAAGATTCTTGTGTCATCTTCAAAGAGAAATTTAAGTTTAAGACATTAAGAAGTTGATAGTAAGTACATCTTTTCCTGTGCCTGATGTGTGAAAGGATGATAAGTTCTATGTGTTTTTCCTAGATGTGACACCAGCTGTTTGACGTGCAATGGTCCAGGCTTCAAGAACTGTACGAGCTGCCCCAGTGGGTATCTCCTAGACTCAGGAATGTGTCAGATGGGAGCCATCTGCAAAGACGGTGAGTACAACTGCTCATTTCCATCTTCTGAACAGTGTGATCTTTCTACTTGAAGGCCTAACAAGATATTTCCACTTAAAAAAAAAGAAAGAAAGAAACTATCAGGCATGTGTCAGCTAGGCCATTCCTGATATGACTTTGGCATTGATTCCTCTTGAACTTATGCTTTTAGTGGGTTTTGCTTTGGTTTTAGGGATATTTTTAATTGCAAGAAAGAATAAATCACCCACTGGCTAAGACATCGCCAGTTAAACTTTAGAGTTTTAGATGCACAGCAAAACTGAACAGAAAGTACAGAGAGTACACATATATCCCCTGAACTCAGGCACATGCACAGCCTCCCCCATTATCAATATCCCACACCAGAGTGGTGCATTAGTTATAGCTAATGAACCTACACTGACACCCCATTACCACCCAAAGTCCACAGTTTACATTAGGGTTCCCTCTTGGTGTTGTATGTTCTATGGGTTTGGACAAATGTGTAATGATGTGTAGCTACCATTTTAGTATCATACAGAACAGTTTCACTGCCCTAAAAATCCTCTGTGCTCCGCCTATCATCCTTCCTTCCCCCCAACCCCTAGAGACCACTAGTTTTTTTTTACTCTATAGATTTGCCATTTCCAGAATGTCACATAGTTGGAACCATATAATATATAGCCTTTCTAGTTAGTTTTTGATGTATTTCCCATCATTTGCCATATATACATGGAATTTTGTATCCTGCACTAAGCATTAGATATAAACATAATTCTATGTTTTTAAAATCTTATTAAAAATGAAGTTTCTAAACAGCAGAATTTAATTTAGAGATACCAATTTATTGCTATCTATTAGTTGGATTGTTTATAATTTTGATATGTAAATACCAGCCAAATGCTTTCTGAATCATTCATTAAGCCCTGAGGACAAGAATTAATGACAGAACCAGGTAATTTTGGTCCATTTTTCTTTCTTTGCACCAGTGGTTTTCAGCCAAAATGCTAGGACCCCACAGCTTCCTCAGAGATTTAGAATGAATTGGTCTTGTGGTTGTAGCCTGAGCATGAATATTTTTAGGAGTTTCTCAAGTGTTTCTAATGCACAGCCAGGTGTGGGAACCTCAGACTACTCCATGCCCCCTGACAGTTTGGCAGATGCCAAATTCCCTCATTTCTCTAGTCTTAGTTTTCCTACCTATAAAATGAATGGCTTTAAATTATTCTAACTCCAACATTTTGTGAACTGTAGCTCTTATTATAATTCACACTGAGGGGGCTATAAAATTTGTGCCTAAATTTTATGCAGACAGTACATATCAATGATGTAGGAAGAAATTATTTTGAACCATTGTTCTAAATATCTTTAAATTGTTATGAAAATAGAAAAAATTTTTTAAATGTATGCATCTGCAACAATCTTACCTGGCAAGATTATTCCCCTGGGTTTATTCTTTGTCTTCCTTTGAATGGCTCCTCTTCTAGAAATTGACAGGGGACAGAACAGTGCTATGGTTGGGAGAATGTGGATCCAGGAGTCAGAATGCTGCTGTTCATATCTGGGGTCCAGACCTTGGGCAGGTTATGAATTTCTATGTGCCTCACTTCCCTCATCTGTAAAAATGAGGATAATATTACTGACCTCGTATGGTTATTCCACAACTATTAGGAATCTCAAAAAGACTTCACAAAGAACTGGGCATGCAGTGGCACTGACAGAACATCATTTATGGTCTCGTTTCCATGGAGCTTCATAGGTGACTTTGCATCTTCATAGCTTTTCTGATGTATGACGGGTCTGGCAGGTGCAGGCCAGACCCACTCAGGCTCTGTGTCCAAGATTTTCTTGACCAGACCTGATTCTCACCACACAACACTGGGGTAAGAGGATTGGGTGATAGATCCCCAGGACACCATGTAAGTATCACTTTTTAATTACCACCAAGTGCTCTTTACCCTTACTTAAAAACAGGGTTCCCCTATATCTGAAAATGACCTGAATTTTCATAAGTTCATAACCTAAAAATGGAGGAAGGTTTGTTTTTTTTAAGTGATTTACCAAGGAGATCCACTGTGACTTGAAAATTTCACTCATAGCACTTGATACCAGCCACTTCAAGGTTTGTGACGCTTTAACTACTTTCATAAACCATGATATGCATGGGATAAGTTATGCCACATTGGTAAAGTGGAGTGTCAGGATTGTGGGCAGTAGTGGAAAAGGAACAATAATTTGCAATGAGTCCATTTTCGGGTCAGTTAAAGAAAGAGTCTTGAACTTCTGGGCAAGATGGCAGAGTAAATAAACACTGCTTACCTCCTCCCACAACAACATCAAAATTACAACTAAATTATAGAACAACCATCATTGAGAACCACCTGAAGACTAGCTAAACTGAACTGCTATAACTAAAAGTATAAAGAAGCCACGTTGAGACTGATAAGAGGGCTGGAAATACGGAATGGGCAGGTCCCACGGACTCATGGCATGGCGACTATGAATCAGGATGAATATCTTGGCTTTGGAGGTCTGCCCTGAGGAGTGACGATCCCAGTCCAGGGCACTAGTGCCAGGAAGAAAAGTCCCCATAACACCTGGCTATGAAAACCAGTGGGGATTGTGTCCAAGAAAGACAATGGGCTGCTAGATACCTAGGTGCTGCAGATCTCAAAGCACCTAAGCACAAACTCAATAGCTTACAACCTCGCTTGCTTTGAGCTCCACTGCAGGGGAAGCTCTGTCTGGGGATGGAAGTGCTGGCATATGCTGTTGAGCCCTCCCCCTAACCCAGGCTCAGGTAGGCTCCAAATCTGAACTCTCCATTAACCTAAATAATACTGTTTGCCCTACTCTGGTGATTCCATGGGACCCCACCTAACTCACACACCCAGATCGTACCTCTTTCAGCAACTTTCTACAAAAGCGGCCTGTCTGGATTGCACTCCAGACTTTCCTGAAATTTTTCAAAGGTCCACAAGCCACAGAGCAGCAACAGCTAGCCACGACTTGCCCTCTTTCTCTTGCTAAGCAGGCCCAAGTCCAGCACAAGTGGCAGCCAGCCTTGGTTCCCAGCATAGCCTCTCCCAGGCACCTCCAAGCCCAACACAGGTGGTAACCGACTGCAGATCACTTTGTAGCTTCTACCAGGTGGCCCCAGGCAGTGACTGAAGTTGGTCTATACCAGAGCCTCACCCAAGAGGCCCCAGAACCAACATACCCAGTGGCCAGCTTCAGACCATACCGGAGCAACACCCAGCCAGCTCCTCAAAAGACATTTCCAAAGGGCAGACATCGCAGGCACCAAAGCCCACTAAAGTAACTCCCTCTTCGTGAGATCAGCCTCCACACAACAAATTGTCAGTGTCATCATGGCCAGTCCTCACAGCCATTCAGCCTGAGATCAGTCCCACCCACTGATATGCCAACAGCAATCAAGACTCAACTATAATAGGAGGTTACACAACCAGATGGAACCAGGCTCAAGTAAACAGGAGACTGCGACACTGGGTCCCACAGGATACCTACTACATAAAGCCACCCTGCCAAGACTGGGAAAAGTAGATGTACTTAATATGTAGAAATAAACACATGGAGGTAGCCAAAATGAAATAAAGCAGCATGTCCCAAATGAAAGAATAGGACAAAACTCTAGAAAAATTAAATAAAGGCAATTTACCAAATACAGTCAAAACACTGATTATAAGGATGCTCAATGAACCTAGGGGAAGAATAGATAAACTCAGTGAGAACTTATTCAAAGAAATTGAAACCACGAAAAACTTTTCTGAGATGAAGAATACATTAGAGGAAATCAACAGATTAGATGAAGCAGAGGATCAAGTCAGTGACCTAGAAGACCAGGGAGCATAAAACACCCAATCAGAAAAGCAAAAAGAAAAAATTTTAAAAATGAGCATAGTTTAAGGGACCTCTAGGACAACATCAAGCAAACCAACGTTTGCATCATATGGGGTACCAGAAGGAGACGAGAGCAAGGGATTGGAAACCTATTTGAAGAAATAAGGATTGAAAGCATCCCTAACATGGTGAAGAAAATGGACATACAAGTTCAGGACGCACAGAGAGTCCCAAACAACATTATCAGTAAATACTACAACAATTATATGCCAAAAAATTGGACAACCTGGAAGAAATGGATAAATTTCTAGAAATATACACTTTTCCAACACCAAAGCAAGAAGAATTAGAAAATGGGAACAGACCAATCACTACTAAGTAAATTCATCAGTAATCAAAAAACTCCCAATGACAAAAGTCCAGGACCAGATAGCTTCACAGCTGAATTTTACCAAACATTCAAAGAAAGAATTAAACTACTTCAAAAAATTGAAAAGGCTCCCATTGCCCTGATTCCAAAACCAGGCAAAGACATTACAAAAAAAAAAAAAAAATTATAGACCAATTTCCCTGATGAACATAGATGCAAAAATTCTCAACCAAATAAAAGCAAACCAAATTCAGCATTAAAAAGATCACAACCATAATCAAGTGGTATTTTTTCCTTGGGTGCAAGATTAATTTATTTGTGAGTATTAAAACAATGATATACCATAATGATACACCAAATGAAGGATAAAAATCATATGATCATATCAGTAGATTCAGAAGAAGCATTTGACAAAATCCAGCATCCAGTTATGATTTAAAAAAAAACTCAGGTAAAGGCCATATATGACAAACCCAGACCTAACATCATACTTAGTGGTGAAAACCTGAAAGCTGATTCTTTAAGAGAGGGATATGTACTTCCACCACTTTTATTCATCAGAGTATTGTAAGTCATAGCCACAGCAATCAGAAAAGAAATAAAAGGTACCTGAATTAGATAAGAAGTAAAAATTGTCATTATTTGCAGAGGACATTACACAACATAGAACCTTAAAAAAATATATTATAACTAATTTTGTATTGTGCTACTTTACTGAATTAATTTATGTTCAGAAATCAGTTACATTTTTGTACTCCAATAACAAACTATCAGAAAGAAAAATTTAAGAAAATCCCACTTACACTTACATCAAAAAGAATTAAAAAAATACTTAGGAATAATTTAACCAAGAAAGTAGAAGACTTGGCTTTGGAAACAATAACACACTGAAGAAAGAAATTGAAGAAGATATAAATAAATGGAAGTATATACCATGCTCATGGATAGAAAAAATTAACATTGTAAAAATGTCCATACTACCCAAAGCAATCTACAGATTCAATGCAGTCCTTACCAAAACACCAGTGGCATTTTTTACAGACTAGAAAAAATAATCTTAAAACTTACATGGAACTACAAAAGACCCTGAATAGCCACAGCAATCTTGAGAAAGAACAAAGTTGGAGTTCTCATGCTACGTAATATCAAACTATACTACAAGGCTATAGTAATTTAAAAAGCATGGTATTGGCATAAAAACAGGCACAAAGATCAACAGGACAGAATAGAAAGCCCAGAAATAAACCCACAGCTACATGTTCAATCTATGACAAAGGAAGAAAGAATATACAATGGGGTAAAGACAGTCTCTTCAGTAAATGGTGCTGGGAAAACTGGGCAGACACATGCAAGAGAATGAAACTGGATCACTTTCTTATACCATATACAAGAATAAACTCAAAATGGATTAAAGACTTAAATGTAAGACCCAAAGCCATAAAACTCCTAGAAGAAAACAGACAAGGAAGTCTTTGACACTGCTCTTAGGAACTTTTTTTTTCTTATCTCCTCGGGCAAGGGAAACCAAATTAAAAATAAACAAATGGGACTACGTCAAACTAAAGAGTTTTTGCACAGTGAAGGGAACCATCAAAAAATGAGATGACAACCTACTAATTGCCAATAACACATCTGATAAGGGTTAATATCCAAAATATATAAGGAACTCATACAACTTAACACCAAAAAAAAAAAAAAAATCTGATGGAAAAACTGGCAGAGGACCTGAATAGACATTTCTCCTAAAAGGACATCCAGATGGCCAATAGACATGAAAAATGCTCAACATCACTAATCATCAGGGAAATACAAATAAAAAACACAATGAGATAGCCATTCTGACAGGTGTGAGGTGCTATCATCAATAAGTGAACAAACAAGTGTTGGTAAAGATGTGGAGAAAAGGGAACCCTCATGCACAGCCACTATGGAAAACAGTATGGAGGCTCCTCAAAAAATTAAAAATAGATCTATATGATGCAGCAATTCCACCTCTGGGTATTTATCTGAAGAAATCCAGAGCACTAATTCAAAAAGATACATGCACCTCTATGTTAACTGCAGCACTATTTACAATAGCAAGCTAGGTGTCTACCAATAGACAAATGGATAAAGAAGATGTGAGATACACACACAGAATGGAATATTACTCAGCCAAAGCAAAAAATGGAATATTGTCATGTGCCATGGATAGACCTAGAGGGTATTAAGTGAAAGAAGGCAGACAGAGAAAGACAAATACCATATGATCTTGTTTATATATGGAATCTAAAACAAAATAAAGGAACAAACAAAACAAATTCCTAGCTTCAGGAAACAAATTGATGGTTGCCAATAGGGAGAGTTTGGGTGAAAAAGATAAAGGGATTAAGAAATACACATTGGCAGTTATAAAACTAGTCACGAGGCTGTAAAGTATAGCATAGGGAATGTAGTCAATAATATTGTAATAACTATGTATGGTGTCAGGTGGGTACTAGACTTACTGGGGTGATCATAAAGTATATAAATGTCTAATCACTATGTTATTCACCTGAAAGTAATATAATATTATATGTCAACTCTAATTAAAAAATAAAAGGGAATGATGACCACAGATTTTAGAGAGTTTATGTATAGAAATGAAGGAAAATAAGCACATGGCAGATCCAAGAGAATCAGAAATACTCTCATTCTGAAGAGTGATGGGTTCATAGATGGTGAGAGTATTGTTATGCTTTCACATGTTAGATATGCTGTGTATGTCTCAGATATTACATATTACAATTATAAAGACCATTAAATTCATAGGGGGTGGGGAGGAAAAAACAGAAAAAGTATTAATGGCTCACTGGGCTTTTCATGTTTCAAATCACATGGCAATGGCATTTAAGGATGTGCTATTTATTCTTTTTCAACTGTCATATTTCAGTGATTCTAAGACATACCTCTTTTACATTTTATCATCTCTGAAATCAGATGCATCTTACAATTCATGGCAGCTTACAACTGCTTTTGACCAGGCAGGTTGATGTGACATAGTTGTCATTGTCTGTGAATATAGTCACAGAGATGTCTAGTCAAGTGAGAAACGTGGTTACTACTTCTCATGTTGAATTTAATTACAGCTCAAAATTGCTTTAAAAAATTAAACTGTTCAATATTTAAAGGAAGAGTTTATTCCACAGAAACAAAACAGCATGTGATATAAGGTTAACAAATACTCTCAGTGAGCATAAAATGGGTAAGTGAATATTGTTTCTTCGTTTAATAAGAAGCACTTTTGTCTTGGTAGTACTTAAAATAGCGGTGCATCTTAAATCCAGTGTCTTAGAGTCAGTGAAATATAGTATAAATGACTATTCCTCTCTGTTCTAGGTAATTCTAAAAATAAAATTCCTTGCTTATATTATTGATTTCTAATTTATTCTTTTTCTAATCTTTTTTTTTTTCCTTTCACAAATGGATACCAATCACATTTCCCGTTGGACTGCAATCTCTCTCCTTGAAAAACAATGCTGTTGCCTGAAATCACTTTGGGTGGACCAAATTTCCTCCTTGTTGACTGCTCCTGAATGATCTCTTCCAACCCCCTAACCTGCCTCTCTGGCCAATCAAAACCTTCCTCATGTGTGTACATCATGCTGCTCTGGTCCTCAATCCCCCCTCTCGCTGACTTCCCGGAAAAGCAACGGAAGAGTCCTGGGCGGAAGGAGGCTTCTGTATGCTAGTGAAAAAGAACAATCTGTGCCAGCGGAAGGTTCTTCAACAACTTTGCTGCAAAACATGTACATTCCAAGGCTGAGCTTCCATCCTAGATTTCTTTGTTCTTGTAGACTTATAGATTACTCCATATTATTATTAAAAAGGAAAAAAAAAAAAGCAAAAAAAAAAAAAAAGCAAGCCACCTCTCTCTTTCTTGCTTTCTTTTTTTCTCTCTCAATCTGTGCAGGGAGATGGTGAACTGTTTTGTCAGAACTTAAATGGAAAAAAAATAATAAACCTACAACAAGCCTACCTTTTTATAACTGGGTGTTTAGTACTAAACAGCCAGAACCACAGAGACAGTATTGTATGACCAAAGCATTTGATGCCAAAATTTGACGTTAAAGTAATGATTTGATTTCCTGCCCTGGTTTTGAAGGTCCATTTTTTTTCCCGTTTGCATTTACTTGCTTGTTTTCCCTTTGAGACGCCTAAAAATACCTTTCAAAAAGTCACAAGAGTAGACATAGATCAAAATGAAACAAAAAGCTCTTGCATTAGTCATGTTTCATGCTTGAGTCCATCACTGGGGGAAATGGTAGGAAACTGGACCTAAGGGCATTAGACCATCCCGCAGAGTTGTGTTCAGAGTCGTTTGTCTTAGTTTTTTGCAGTTGAACACTGATCCTTTCCACACAAAACTTACTTCATGCATTATGTGGTTTTGGCATTGTACTCACTTGATAAGTCTGCTCCACTGGTTTCATCAGATAGACTTGCTGCTACTGGCTTTTCCATTGTAGACTGGGTGACTTTACACACGGCTGGTCAGGTGGGACTGCACTGCATAGTCAGATTGGTGATGGACAGAATGCAAAGTTACACAAAACGGCTGAGACGGACCCAGCTCCCCAGAATCCAGAGTGTTCACTTTGTAGACCCTGCACAATCTCTTGGTGCTATCTAGCCAGTATCCCCATAGCATTTTTTAAGGGCCACCAGAAATTCCATTTGTTGTGGTGGGAAGCATTTTGGATGTGATGCAAGAAATTTCTTCCTGGAGTCAAAGGTTTCTAAAAGGTCCTGTATTTTTAAGAAATGGAATGGATTTAAATAATATATAAGCTTGTGCCCAAGTTGGCCGGGCAACGTTTTTCAATGGTGCTTATTAAAACTTTTTTCATCTTCTCGTTTTCAGAAAATAAAACTAGAAATTGAATATGGGCGGCATGATTGTACCCTCCTCGTTCTGTTATTTCCCCACTCCTCTGTCCCTCTATAACTGTGCTGTGATACACCTGTATACTGAATGTCATTGAGATCCTCTGTTTTCTTGGAAATATCTTCACTGGTTTTCTATGACTCCCTAAACACATCCTGGAATCTAGCAGACTGAATTATGAGCAAACTGTTTTGGATCAGTGGTCAGAAATTTGGAAGCCTGATAGATCATTTTACCACTTCTGAGTTTCTGTTTAGGAGAAGAAAGACTGATACCAAGTTTCCTCATTTTCCATATCAAAGCTCCATTGGTGACCTCATTTGCTTCAAGAGTGACCAGCCATCTTACAGACTTTATTTTTACTTCCAAGATGTCACTGGCCTCACAGATGAGAAGAGGAATGATATCAATATAGATTATCCTAGGAAAGAGCTGGGAAGTGGATGCTAAGGTCCCCATCTAAGCAACGAGTTAGTTAAAAAGCCTACCTTGACAATATTCATTCCTAGACATCCTACCCAAAGTGAATAATAGTCTAATGACCCTCTTAATTTGCACATAATGAGTCACAATGATTCATAAGTAACTAGGGAATCAACTGATTTGCTGAGCAATTTTCCCCTTCATAACAATGCAGGCCCTCCTGACCTGGAGAAGGCAAGTTAATCCTAGATATGGCATCTGGAGTCTTACATTTAAAGGCACAGTCTTTAAGTGGCACAGTCTTTAAGTGGACAAATGTAAGTGTAACCTAAGCAAGGTCAATCAATGGGGAAACCAGATTTGCCTGCAAAGGAATCCATTTAACTGAACCATCCAATAATATTTGAGGCACAAAAGTTACTATGATAGGAAAGATAAAAATGATGTCTGTGTTCTTAGACAAATAACCATCAATATGACAGCCAAATTCATTGGGGTCCACCAAAGTGTGTTCTATTTCCCACTGACCATGCAGGCGCACATTGTGGAAATAGTGGTTAAACTACTAGTGTGTTACTGCCTCGTTTATCTACAGAATATTATTAACTAGAACATAATGCTTTCAAAGTTTAAGTTAATGTTATATATTATGTATAAATATATATATTCATAATGAGATATATGTAATGGATAGTACAAAGTTGGGAGACTTAACAAATGCTCTAACCTTCTAGAGACAAAAGTCCTATCTTCTGTTCTCTTTTGTCCTTTTATTTTTAATTAGTGATCCATTGTTAAATCCAAATCCACTTTTACTGAAAAATACTGTACATGTGTAAAATGTTCAGTTGTTTTTTTGTAAAATATAGTAGAATGGTTGTAATTGATACTGGCCAAAATCAATGTTATTCCATATTTTATTTTTTCTATTAAATTAACCTAAGTTCCTGTTTATTTGATCTGTCCATACCCATGTGTAAACATCTCTGAAAGGGTAAGGTAATGAGAGACTTCTCTGTTTCCACATAGAAGCTGAATATGAAGGAAAGGGCAGAGGGGAATGAAGTAGCTAAATAAAGTTGGAAAGAAAGGGCGAGTAGAGGTGGGAATTAAAAAGGGGAAAAGTAACTGCAATACAAGAAAGGAACAGTTTAGGTTTGGTCATCAATGCATTTCAAATTCCATTTTTAGAAAGGCTGCAAAAAAAATCTATAAAAGCTTGGTATAGTTTCTATTGGATTGTGCAGATACCATGTCCATGTATGGGCCATCTGGGCCCGCTCTTTCCCTGGACTTCCTAGGGTGTGGACTACGGCACTCTCACCAGTGATGTATGAGCTGGGGACCAAGGGGCTGGGTACAAGCTGGTGGTGAATGTGAAAGCTGTTAAAAGATGGCCCTGTACAATTTAATGATATCCTATATAAAATTGACAGTAGCTATATCCCTGAAAGATACATGGATGTCTAAAATAAATCCCCAGTACACACCATGAGGTAGGACTAAATAGTTAGCAAAAAGAAAGAAGAAACAACAAAGGATTATAGATGTGCTTGAACGCTGCTTGAGTTGCAGTCTTAGCCTTGAAGATTCAATGCCCTGTCTTCCGGGAAAAGAAATGAGATCAGCAAAAGCAACAAACAAATTGAGTTCCAATTAGTTTTAAAGATCTGGAGATACAAGGTGTAAGAGTGAGCCTCTGCTGTTGTGAAGTCCCATTAGGGGGATGAGAAACTAATCTTATCGATCATTGATAGAGTGTGTATGCACTGATGTAAACATGTCCTCTCTCAATTAGCTCGAAAGCTCTAAAGCAGAGGTACATGTATTATCCTGTTTACCAATAAGAAAGCTGAGGCCTATGGACTTGAAATAAATTGAGGTTCCATAGCCAGACTCTAAATAAATAAATAAATAATTTAACAATAACAATTAACAGTAAATAGTGAAATCTAAATCTGAAATGAATGGGACACTAAGTCACTAAGTTCAGAGACGCAGAAATTCCTTTGAACTGACCGGTCGAGGTGAGTTTTCTAGAGCAGGTGAAACTAGCACTGGATCTTGGAGGGTGGCAGGAGTGTAAGAGATGTTCAGGGAAGCAAGTGAATTGTTTTAATGGTTTTAATCTAATTAGTTCATGGCTACAAGGGACAGTGAGTCAACATTTGATGGGTTAGTCACGAAGAATCTACGTTTTTGCACTTTGCAGAAGACAAATAGTGTTCCCGCTGTCTTCAGCCCCCAAACCCGTGGAAGACCTTGCTGAGCACACTGTCCTCTGTGAGTTGATCGGAATTTTCTTCTTTCCAGCCCAGCGCCGGGCTTTTACCATCACGCTCCTGATTTCGCTCAGACTCACTGTTTACCACCCAACAGTCTATGCTGAGTGCTTAGTAGAGAAGGGGAGAAGTGGTTGTTGTAGCAACTACTGAATTAAAGTTTCTCAGTCAAGTGATCAGCACTTTGGGCACATCTGAACATGGAAATATGTGACACCGCACCCCCCTCACGTAAAAGGAATATCGTGCAGCTCAGGCAGAGGTGGGGTGCATTCGTAACTGTTCTCCCATTCTCACTCAGCTTCACACAAAGGGCAACGGCAGACAGCAGCCTGACGAACGTGAAGGAAACGGGGCAACTTGAAACCGGCCTGGCCAGATCAACACTCCCTCCTTTCATCCGTTAATACAAAACAGGGCGCACAAAGGCCAACTGTAGCTTGACCTCACCTGGCCCCAAACTCAATAAGTGTCAGTGACAGAAAGTATAAACCTGCTTCTCTTGCCTGGTTGACATCTATTTCCAAATATTATTTTTTGTTGCTAACCCATAAAATCTGAAGTTCGCAGCAGAATACTTTGGAGCCATTGACAAATTTAGCCGAGCAGAGCCAAGATGGACTTAATTTCACCGTGGCTCGTTAGAGCTCCCTGGCACCTAGAAATGGGCCTGTGATCCATATATCATGTCCCTTCTCCATCATGTGAGTTGAAAACCTGACCCAGAGTCAATTCTTAAGCAAGAAGGATGCAGTTGTGCAGCATCACTAAGTCTCAGAGGGCCAGTCTGGGCCTGGGAATGCCAGCAGTTCTTTCCCACTCTCTACCTGCAAGGGCGAGAGAAGGACTTGACTATCTTTTTTTTTTTTTTTTAATTTATCTTTATTGTTGAAAGTATTACAGATGTCCCCTTTTTCCCCCATTGACCCTTTTTACCCCTACCCCACCCCCACCCCAGGCCTTCACCACACTATTGTCTCTGTCCATGGGTTATGCATATGTGCATATAAATCCTTCACTTAATTTCTCCCCACCCACGCCTTCCCTCTGAGATTCATCAGTCTGTTCCATGCTTCTGTGTCTCTGGATCTATTTTGTTCAACGGTTTATTTCATTCATTATATTCCATATATAAGTGAGATCATGTGATATTTGTCTTTCTCTGCCTGGCTTATTTCACTTCGCGTAATTTTCTCCAGGTCAATTCATGCTGTCCCAAAGGGTAAGAGATCCTTCTTTACAGCTGCATAGTATTCCATGGTATAAATGTCACACAGCTTTTTTATCCACTCATCTACTGATGGGCACTTAGGCTGTTTCCAGATCTTAGCTATTGTAAACTGTGCTGCTATGAACATAGGGGTGTATAATCCTAAGAAACTAGGACATGACTGTCATGTTACTGAAGGGTTTTCTTACAAAGTTTTCTCTCGAAAGGGTCATTGTTTAAGAGTGGTGTTTCCTTTTTGCAGGGCCACATGTCAGGCAACAAAAGATATTTTGCATCCCACTTCCTAAAAATTTCCAGAAACATTCCCTGAGGCCTGAATTATAAGACCTTTTTGCATTTTAGAAAAGAATACATTATTTTAAGACGACCATGTTTTAAGGCTGACTGACTAAAATGGCTGTATTTAATTTGCCCCCACAAAAACCAGAGGTCTATAGAAATTGGCTTTCTGATGCAAGATTCACAGCTAGTAAAGAGGTTGCTGGGATTCAAGCCCATAGAGTCAACCTTCTGTACAACACTACTTTTTAAGAATGCCAGAGAAAAACAAGTCTATATTACATATGTTATAAGGCAGGGGTAAGAGTCTTTTCCAAGTGCAGAGAGAAAGCACACTGTATCCCTGGACTTGGGTTTTTCTCCTTATGAGCTCAAATTAATGCTTCTATAAATAAACATTGTGTTCCTGTCATATACCAAGCTCTGGGGTAGTTCTTGTCCTCTTCAAGATTACAGTCTAATGGGGGACAGACACAAAAACACATGGCTATAATATGAAACTATTTAAGTGCCTTAAAGGGGGCATAACAAATATTGTTGTGAGTTCAGAGGAGGAAGCTCACTTTACCAATTAAGTACTAAAGGTCCAAAAGCTTTCCAAGGGCATCCAAAAATAGCTTGAAACAAAAATAGTTGCCTCCACCCTGGCCGGTGTTGCTCAGTGGTTAGAGCATCGCCCCACAGACCTAAGAGTCACAAGTTCAATTCCTGGTCAAAGGTACATACCTGGGTTGCAGGTTCAATCCCGGGCCCCTGCCAGGGTACATGTGGGAGACAACCAATTGATGTCTCTCTCACATCGATGTTTCTCTCTCACACCCTCCCTCCATTCTACCCTCTCTAAAAATCAACGGAAAAAAATACCCTCAGGTGAAGATTAACAAAAAAAGAGTTGCCTCTAAAATGAACAGATATTTTAAATACCTACAAAATGCAACATGTCAAACTAGTCAATTGCAACTCCACTCCAAAGGAGTCACATACAATTAAATTTAAGGTAGAGTAAATATGAGTTTTAATCTGTTTGATATGACGTAGGACCTATGAGGTAGGAGAACCTAGGTTCTGTTGAGATCACAATATAACTCTGCAGAGGAGGGAGAAATTCACTAATCAAGTTGAGACTTGGGGGATTATATTTATATATATTCCTGATCTCTTTCCTCAAGAGTCCCACTTACAGATTCAAATAGCTACTTGACATTTCCCTTCAGATATCTAACAGGCATTTCAAAATTAACATGTCCAAAAGAGGCATCAGACTTACCAATCCCCTAAATATTACTATCACAAATGTCTGCCATCACAGTAAAATGGCATTACAATTCATTCACCCAGTTGCTCAAGCCCAAAACCTAAGATTAATCTTTTTTTGCCCTCAAATTCAATCTATTAGTAAGGTCCCATTAACCACACCTCCACCATGTATCTCTAAGTGGTCTACTCCCCACTTCATAGTTGTAATTCTGGGTCAAACCACCATCCTCTCCATCCTGGACTGTTGCAGGAGCCTCCTAACTAGGCTCCCTGCTTTTCTTCCCCTCTTTTCCCCTCTCCTCCCTTGTCCATTCTCCACATGGATAGCAGAGTGCTATTACAAATACAAAATCAGATTTTGCCCCTGCCTATTCCCTCAGAATAAAATCTGACCTCCTTAACTGGGATCTTCTGATCTCTTCTCATGCCCCTTTCCCCCTTGCTTGTCATGTTCTAGTCCTGCCAACTTTCTTTTTGTTCTTCAAACACAAATAACTTGTTTGTGCATCAAGACCCCTGCTCTTCACATGGCTGGTTTCCTTTCATCCTACAGGTCTTAATTCAAAATCCACTTCCTTGCAAAGCAGCTCCCTCCACCACTCACTCTATACCTGCCCACCTTTTTTTGGTCTTTTCATTGCACTTTACACAACATGACACTCTATGATTCATTTAGTTGTTGGTTGTCAGTCTCTCTCACTACATCAGCACCATGAGAGCTGGGGCTTTGTCCGCCCTGTTCACAGCTTATCTTATATGTCTAGCATAGTGCCTTGCTTAGTAAATATTTGTGGAATGAATGAATAAAAAGACTTAAGGCAGAAATGACATTTGACCTGAGTCTTGAAAGATAAGTGAGAATTTGTAAGTCAAAGAAGCCACGTTGAAGAAGGAATCTCGAAAGA